CAAAAAGGGGCCAGGCAGCCTCTGCCATCCACCCACTCCAGTTTCCTAGCTCAGACTCAGAACCATCAGAGCTGAAAGGGACCCAAGAGACCTTCCAGTCCAATCGTTTCATTTTATTAACAAGGAACCTGAGACCCAGAGAAGTGACTTGCCCGGTGGGCTGGAGGCAGAGCGGGTTCTAGAGCCGGGGGCCCAGGGGCGGTGCGGGAAGTGCCCAGGACATGCTGAGTGAGCCCCAGTGAGGCCAGGAGGGCTCTGGTGAGCTCCTGCCGATTGATGAATGGATTTCTGGGTTAGCTGTCAGGGCAACCGAGGAGGAGGGCAGCGCTGACAGCAGTGCCAGGAGCAGGCCCAGCGTCCCCCCACCCCGCCCTGGGCTTCCTCAGGACGCTGGGCCCCACTGGAGACCCCTGCCCTCCCCTCGGAGCCTGGCCCAGCGCTGGCTGCAGCCCGGCTTCCAGAGCTTGTCAGGGACCAGGAGGGCCCCGGCGGCGGCTGCGCTCAGGGCAAGAGGGAAGCCAGGCTGGGGCATGTGATGCCCGGCACCCTGGAGCCAGTTCAAGGCACCCCTTCCTGTGCGAGGGAGCAGACGGACCCCTCTCTCTATGACTTGTCCAGCAAGGCAGGGAGCCCCCACTTCCCAGTCTTCCTGCCAAAGTGACCAAAGCCCTGTCCAGGGTCCTGACCTCCACCTCCGGGGCCTGGGCCCCAGGTGGGCCTGGGTCAGGACAGAGGCCTCCCGGCCCTGCCTACCTCCGAAGGCCGCCTTTGGGACTCCCCTCGCGGGTTGCCCTAAGGCCGTGGTGAGCGTCCCACCTGGAATTCGGACTAACTGGGTCGGGTGTAGGATGCGCTGTGCCTCTCAGGACATCCCACTCCCAGGACACAGACACACTGGGTCTTGTCCAGAAGAATTTGACCAGGCGGTCGAGGCAAAGGGAAACTGGAACACGCGTGGAAGGAGCACCTTTGACTAGATAGGGAAGCTGTGGTTCTCAGGGAGATGTCACGCCTTCTGAATGGCTGGACACGCACCAATAGTGGAAGCCACAGGGAGACAAACTCTAGTTCAGGATAAGGACGTCCACTCAAACTCTTCACGACGTACAAGCCGTGAGAAGGGCTGTCTCCCAGCGTCGTGGGTCACCTGCCAGGTGGGCGCACAGGGGTGTGAGTCGGGGAGTCCTGCGTGGAGCAGGACGTTGGACTGGGGACAGCTCAGCAGAAAAGCAAAGGGACCTCACACCGATGGCTGTGTCACAGCGTTGGGCCCTCTACACACGGTGTGTCTCGCTCTCGAAGCGTCACACCATCCTTGCTGAAAAGCGTTATTCCCTGCTTTTGTAGATGGCAGGTGAAGGTCGGAGAGGTTAGGACACCTTGCCGCGCTGTGCACTCAGCAAGCGGAAGCCGGACTTAAGCAAGGCCTGTCTGGCTGCCTGTCCCTTGGTGCCCACCACTCTTGGTTTGAGTCTCAGGCTGTCAGGGCCCCGGGGCAGGGTGGAGGGGCCAGATGCCCAGACAGGACTGCACTGCTGCTGCTCTGGGTCTCGAGTGAAGAGCAGCGCAAGCAAGGGCGTGGGCAGCAGAAGCCCTGGGGCCTGGAGGGCTGGAGGCCCAGAGAGGTGTCTGTTTGCCTTGGAGTCACACAGCAGTGAACAAGTCAGCCTCTGAGCGATCCCTGCTCAAGCTGACCCCCACGACTGGCCTTTCTGGTTGGTGTGTGCGCGTTCCAAAGTCCGCCTCCCCCATCAGTGCCTCACAACCCCTCATCCCAGGGCCAGGCCTGCAAGCCCATGTGTGGGGACACTTGCTCCCCTGCCAAGCCTCTCCCAGACCCTGTACAGCCCCAGTGAGACTGGGCCCTGCCCCCACTCAGCTGCCAGCCCAGCCCCAAGGCGTGTGGGGCGTGGGCGTGGGCAGGACCCCCTTGCCCTCAGGTCTGAGACCTGCACAGCCACACCCCCTATTCCTTATTTCCTGCCCTGTCACCCTGCTGCTTTGACCACGGTCACTTGCCCAGTCCTCTCCCATCTGACCCAGCACATCCTGCCACACAGAGGCCCCTGGTCACCGCATTGGCATCACCCAGCCCTGTGCCCTCCCATGCAGTCCTGGACCAGAGGAAGAAATCAGAGGCCAAACCTTCGGTCCTTGCACGCCGGGGTCTCTCGAGCACACACCCGCTCTTTTAGACAGACGGAGCCTGGAAGTGAGAACATTGCTTAACTCCCCTGGGCCCCACCATCCTGCTCTGGAAAATGAGGGTAGCAATCTCTGTCACACGGGCCGGTGAGTGAAGACACGTAGGCTTGGCCCCGTGCACTGCTGAGCGATGGTGTCCCTGTGCCTGAGTTAATGCAGCCGTCCCCTTGTCACTGAAGACTCTTGGACACACAGTCAGCTGTTGGTTTAACAGCAGATCAAGGAAACAGAGGGAACATAAGTGACTCTGAGATAGAAAAACAGACAGGACGACAATGTACAAACGGGGTGTGTTCATGTCTGGTAGGGCCACAGGCTGGCTGCCTCACGCAGGCTTCTCAGGCTTGTCCCAGGCCCTCGTCTCACCACACCCGGCAGCTCTGCCCCTCCCCAAAGGAACACGAGACCCCCTCTGAGACCCTGGTCTGTCCGTCTGCACTCGGCATCTCCGATGCCTCAGAGGGACCTCAGCACCAGCTCCTGTGCTTGTCGACCTGCCCACAGCTGCTCCAACTAGGGCTTTCTGTCCGTGGAAGTGACCCCCAGCAGCCAGCAGCACAGGCAGGGGCCTCCTTTGCCCTCCCCCTGCATAGCCACCCAGAGGCCACAAATGGAAATGCTGGCACAGGAAGCCTGCAAGGAGATGGCAGGTAGGAGGGGCACCTGGGGGAGAAGGTGAAGCCAGAGCACACACCCAGCCCGTGTGGGCTGGGGAGCGACTGCATCTGGGGTCACAAGCCCCAGCTCCGAGTTCTCGCTCTGCACCTTGGGAAGATTGGGGGCTCCCTGTGCCTCCATGGAGCGACAAGCTGTCGGGTCCCTGGGTTGTTCAGAAAGATCAAATGAAGTCAAGGCTGTGAGCTGTCATTATC